CAACTTTATGATGTACTTAAAATAATTAGTGAAGATAAATTCAATGAACTTAATGATACTTTTGGTATTATTGATGCATCAGGTTATACAATCAATGAAATAAAAGATTATGACAGTCGAGTATTAATTGATTATTCATCTAAAGATAGTGATGAGTGAACATTTTAGTTTTTTTGTAAATTGTATTTTATTATCAAATTATTTTTTTAACACAACAAAATTTTTTCTATTATTGTCTAACAAAAATATATATTTCTTCTTCTAAACATTTATTTTCTAATTTTTGCTTTACGAAAAAGCTATTGTGATTTTTATTAGTTGAAGTAATGTCTTCAACTTATGACTGAGATTCGAGACAATACCGGTTAACTTCATTTTAAAACTGATACTATTGTAAGTTATACACCAAGTCAAAAATAGTTCTAAAAATATATAACTATAGACTTATCAGGAGTTATTTTCAGATGTTATCCGCAAATCAAAGCAAGAATTACTCTAGTCAATAAAGCTCGATGAGCTAATCACGATTATGATCTACATTTTCCCCATTCTATTTTCTTACAACCATTACAGTTGTATAGTGAACACTGGTGTACCTTAAAAGTAAAGCAAACCTCGATCACATTCGAAAAGGACGGATATTTTAGTTGAATGCAGCAAAAGACTACTCAAGAGTATGAAATCATTGGTGTGAGAATATCGGCATAGATTTGATGGCAAATCAGTCATTGTAACTTGATTATAGCGTCTTGAGTTCTCAAATCAATATTCTGATTATCTATTGATATGGGTGTCGATGTATAGATGTTATGTAAGTGTATCTACACTATGAAGAAAAACATAGAACATGAAAAAGTTGCGTTATATACAATTTTTCAAAAACCTTTGAAGAGTTTACACTAATCTTCTCAATTCATCAAGGGTCTATCATTTTATCTATAAGGATTTAATATTCTACGTTTTGACAAAAAAATCTTCATTATTATACGTCTTCAGTAAAGTTTTCATAATTTTCTGTATAAGGATTTATGGTGCGAGTATGGCTGTAGAGTACGAGTAAATTTTCTCTTTATCTATTTTCAAATCCACATTCTAGGTCATAAACATTGATCTGATGTATGAAAGAATCTGTATAGTTCTATATTTGAAGTGTGTTTAACAAGTTACAGTTTTAGCTATACGAAGCAAAGAAATAAACGCCCAATATAAAATAATAGAATACTATTCATATATTAATCTTTAAGCTTTCTCTTAAAAAAAAACAAAGTAAAATTTTTGTCAGAATTATCAAAATTAAAATAAATACATGATAAGATAGCCTTTCAAAAACTGTTGATGAATTTTGTCATCATTTAATTGAAAAATATCGAGTTTTCAAAAAAAAAACAAGAAAATCTTTTTTTTGTTTCTGCTTATTTGATTGGGCATTCCAAAATTCTCAAAGTAGTTTTATTGAAGTCAATTGTTTTTGTTTTTGTGTGAAAAGGTATATCAAGATGCAGAGCATGACAGAGTCTGTGTTTTCAATAAAGCTCCGTTACTATTGTATAAAAAAAGTACTTTTATAATTCGAGTACGATTTTTTTGAGATTCTTTGAAACGTTGAACTTTTCATCCTTTTTTTGTCCACGTTAAAAACTAAGAATATTCAAAAAAATTAAGTATATAAAATGAAGGCTTACAGAGATTTTCGGCTTGCGAAATGAACAATTTGTAAACCCTTGTTTATGCAATATCCTTCTCAAACGTCATGGTAAAGGACTGACAAATTTACTATAGCCTCCTCATTAAAGTCCTAACATATCCTGAAAAATCTCATGCGATTTGAATGTACTTGACCCAAGATCGATTTTTCAAGGATGAGAAACCTTAGTCATATCATTTACATTATATTGTTGATATTTCTTGAGATTCGAATATTACTTTTATATGAATCATGAATCGTGTTCTGAATCTAGAGCATAGGAATGTAGATGAACAATAAACCCATATTCACATCTTCATACCTATTCAACTTTGAATCATAGTCAAACAAATTTAAACATTTCTACTGTATAATATAGTAGTAGAAACTCAATGAAAAAAATTGTTCATTGTATCTCTTCAAACAAAAAACAAGAACCCTCTAAATAAACAAGAAGAAGAAAACTATTAATCAGCATATGAAAAATGTTATAAACATAAGTTGACTAAAATCAAATAAATAAGATTTGGTCGAGAGGCTTTTTTCCAATTTTTCAGCCAAAAAAAATAATTGATTGTCGTAGGAGTACAGCTGTCAACAGTTGCTTTTCTAAAAAGATTGATTGTTGTTAATAATCGAAATAATACTTGTTCAACATATTGCTTTTCAATATTGTCCTTGTTAAATATCGAAAATAAATATGATTATCATTGTAAAACGCAAGAATGGCAAAAATAGTTTTCATGATTGGTGACTACTTTATCAGCAATATAACTTAAAAAACTTTATTTTCAAACATGTCATCTTTCATCAAATCTGATCTAATAAATATGTCAACAACCAAAATATCATCGCAATATCGTTGTAGGTCATTTTTTTTATCAACGACAAACTAAATGAAATCATGTTTTGATATCCTGTCTCTCGTGCCAGTCATAGGAGCCATGTACCTGCCATTGAATCGAGCCAACAAGGTTATACAAGACTATTATTCATCAGTAAAGATAAATTCGATATCCTTAGAACTAACAGTACGTTTATGAGAGAATAGAGATGGTAACGTTATTGAATTATATCAATAGATTAGCAAGTTGTAATAGTATTCGTAATAAAATTCAACATTAAAAGTATGAATTGATGGAGTTAATTCTTTGAAATAAATTTTAACAAGAATAAAACATTCAAAGTAAATCAAATTGAAATATTTTCAAAAATAGTTTATACAATATACTTTTTAATTGAATTGAAATAAAGTTCATACGAAGAATTTTTTCGATTCTAACAAGTATGATTTATGTATCTGCTCTTGAAACGAAATAACATTGATCGTGATCTATCGGTGACAGCTTGTCGACATTTAGCTATCAGTCTTTATTCCATCTTTCTTTTTTTTTCTTTTGCGTAGTTATCTCGCGCAATATATGTATATATATGTGTGTATAAAAATATCCTTCATAGGATTATTCATAAAATCTCGGAAAGAAAATAAGAAAGAAAAAAAACAGAGGAAACGCTTAATTACGTATACATTATATCCATTTTATATATGGTAATATATTGGATCCACTACAATAACTTTAAGTTTACAATCACAAATTTATTTATCTTTTCAAAATAAACCATCTTATATATGTGAAATATGTTCAATTAATGACGATATGTAATGTAATTATTGAACTCTTAATCAATATACTTTGTATTCATATAAATTTTGTTACTTTTTTTGGTTACATATTATAGTTGAAAATTTTAAGGCAAGAAAAATTATTTTGTTTAGAGTTTAAAAAAAAATCATTTTAGTCGCATAGTTCAAAGTAGTCAAACAAGAGAACAAGATAAACGAGCTCATTCTAAACATTGTTCGAAGATATTATGGATGGTCCTATTTTTATGTTCTTTTCTTTATCGTTCTTGTTCTAATGACGACAAATATCTTTTCTTGTCTGATTCGCTTTGCCTTGTTCTTCTTCTTCTTCTTTTTTTTTTTTCTTCTGAGAATATCATCATTCCAATACACATATTTAGCAAAAGAAGAGGATGAAGTCAGCAGGAAAGAGATAAAACAGCAGCTGAAACAAATAATGATAGTATTCTGCTACTGCTGTAGGATCTCATCTTCTTTTTCTTGTTCGTTTTTTCCTTTCTTATTCTTTCTTTCTCCATTGCTTGTTCGTTTCTCTCTCTCTCTCGTTCTATCATCTGCATTATTTTCATGAGATAAGCAAAAAACAGAACAGTTGACCCATATTGTGAATACAGATAACATTGATATATATTTGAACTTACATATAATAAGGCAAAAATCTGCTGTTGTGCCATCAGTAAAATGTCAATATATGTTGTTGACACACACGCGACAAATTATTAGTAAGAAAAAGCAATATTCTATATGTATCCTAAAAATTGATGTTTTCTACTAGCAAATGATATCATTCACTTTTATTATTGTTGATTGTCATCTAATAATTCACTTTTAATATCTCGTATGTGAAGTGAGGAAACAGCAGAAGACACATATGTCAATATAGATTCATAATCTATCTATAATTGTTTATAACGATGTGTTTTTATCTTTATTTTTTTCTTTTCTTTTTATAAAATATAAATAAAAGAAAATATTATATTTGTTCTTCAGATATATATTTATACACTTCTGAAAATATACACAACAATGCCTGCCGACGAGAATGAGGTAAAAATAAATATATAATTTTTTTATAAATCTTATGCAATTTTCTATTCATTTGATAAATATATCAAGAAAAAAAAAAGCCAATTAAGATTAAATAAATTCATGTGAAATATTGAATATAATAAGTTTTTATTAAATCTTATATATAATTTATTAAAAAATTTCCATAAATATAGAAAAATTAATCATAATATATTAAAATATGAGTTTTCTATATGAAAACGAGAATATCTATCTGAATGAAAAAAAAAATATATATATTCTAATGTTGTTTTATATAAACCTTTTATTTCATGAACTCAATGTCTTTCTATTTACCCAGACAAACGATGTGATCAATAAGAAGAAAGCATCTGCTCTCATACAACTTCAATGTTGTCTCGTGTTTTATGTGTGACAAACATACACTTCCGCTATCTCATTTCACAACGACAATACCATTGTTCTGTACAACACAAATATATATCACGGAAGAGAAAAGGGTTGAGTGATATGTTTACTTAAAACAAAATATAGAGAGAAAAAGAGAGAATATCTCAAGAGACACTTTTTTTTTTTATTATACAGCAGAGTCATTTCATATATCATACGTTCGTTTTCCCTTTATATCAATTCATTTTTATTATGCCGTCTTTAACTATGCCTATCACTAATAATATTAAAATGAAGAATTCCTGTACACGAATCGTAACACAAAATATACCTACTTCTCCATCAACAGGAATAATAGAAGCAGAATTAAAGGTAAAAAAAAAATCAATCTACATCTTATGCTATTTAGTTATATTTATATCTTCTGTTTTTTTTCTCTTTTGGAAATGAAATATAAATGTTCCACATTTCAACTATATGCTTTCATAGAAAATTCTATCGAGAGAATTTGTTAATCAAATAGTCTAGATAGACAAGTTGAATAAAAATAACTGAATTATTTTGACTATATCTCATTAAATATCATTAATTTAATAAAATAATCATAATAAGAAATGACAGTGGAGAAAATTTCTTCTAGAAAGTTTTTTTTCTTTTTTCTTCTTCTTGCTCATTTATTTTGTTGAATGCCTTTTCTGTGAACAAAAAAATAAAAAGATCTCCGTTATTAGTATTTTTCTTTACTCGATATACGTTAACATCTTTGTAACTGGTTTTAATAAATATACTTTTTCTTGTCCATTGATATAGGATTAAAACATTTAAGTATGATTAGTATTATTATGACAAACACTTCTTCTAAGATTTCTTTTACTTAGGTCAATCGGCAATTGATGATAGAGTATGTACAACAGGAGGTCTATTGTTATTTTGTGTAAACTTTAGTACATACATATATATATGAGAAGAAGAAATCATTTTCTGTTCATTTAAATGTTTTTTTTTTGTGACAAAGTCGTTGTCCTTTTCATCTTTTTTTTTTTTTTTTTTCTATTAACTATAGTTTTTTCTCTTATGCATGTATGCTTGACCCTACTACATCACATTACGAGGGCATCAAGAAAGAAATGAGAAAGGAAAAGAGAGAAAAAAGAAAGAAGGACAGAATCAAAAAAAAGAAACCGGTGCTTCTGTTGTTGAACGTTTGGTAGATAGGAACTCTTATTTCTTTGGCTTTTATAATGTTCAATAGTGTATGCCTAGTATGAATATAGCAAGTCGAATAGAAAAAAAAGAGAGTAAATGAGAAGAATAAGTTATGTAAGAATAAAGAGCAAAAAAGAAAAACGAGAAGGCAAATCGAATAGGACCTATGTCAGTCTGATAACTATTCTTTGTGATGAATACTTCTGAACCCAACGGGACACTATTTAATATTCTTGATTTGTCTGTTGTATTGGTGATGATGGTTGAACTCGTCAATCTATACCCTTCAAGCTTTATCGTTCTTCTTTTTTTTTTTCTTTCTACTTTCCTTGTTCTAACATTGAATTAGTAGCTGAGTAAGACTTTTTATACATCATCAACTCGAGACAGAACGTTTCTCTTTTTCTCAACGTATACAAGTATAATAAGCAGTCTCCTTCTCTCTCTATTTTCACGATGATTCACACTAAGTTGAACAGCGGCTTCGAAGCTCACGCATGTCTCATGACAGATTAGCATACTACATACACTTAGGACACGCATCTATGCAAGTTTGTGAATAAAAAAAAAAATGAACGTCGAAGATTAATATAAGAAGAGAAAGTAAGTAGAAAAAAACAAGGATTTTGACTTAAAAAATGAATATAAATCTCATAGCTTATTTAACATAGAAATATGATAATAAATTTTTGTATAGGAAATAATTATCGTTATTATATAAGCAAACAAATTTCTCTATTTAAATCGTAAGAAGAAAGACAAAGAAATGACTTTTTAGTTGATTTAGAGAAACATATATACCTATTGTTCTTTTCTTTTTCTTTTTATTGCATTTAGATGCCATTCAAAGTTCGCATCTCAAAATTTCGTCATGTATTTGGTACACCTTATCGTGAACAAGATTGTTATAAAAATATAGCTATAACACGTAATGCCCATGATGGAAGTTTTTGTGCTGTTAATTCAAAATTTTTAGCAATTGTAACTGAAACAAGTGGTGGTGGAAGTTTTCTTGTTTTACTTCTATCTGAAGTTTGTCAATTTTCTTCTATTTATCTTCTTTATCAAATAAATGTTTGATATAGGTTGGTCGTGTCGATGTTGATCATCCACGTATAACTGGTCATCGTGGTCCAGTAGTTGATCTTAAATTTAATCCATTTAATGATAATGAAATAGCATCATGTTCAGATGATGGAACAGTTAAAGTTTGGTATATACCAAATGAAGGTTTAAAATCTGATACATATCAATGGAAAGTTGATTTACATGGACATCAAAGACGTGTAGATTATATTGAATGGCATCCAACAGCACAAAATCTTATATTAAGTGCTGGACTTGATCATCAAGTTGTTTTATGGAATGTTGAAAAAGCTGAACCAATACAAGTTTATCGATGTCATCCAGATGCAATACAATCAATAGCATGGAATAGAAATGGTTCATTTTTTGCAACAACATGTAAAGATAAACATATACGTGTTATTGAACCACGTACTGGTCGAATTATTGCGGTAAAATGGAAAATTTATTTTCGAAAAAATTCTAGTTATTATATTATATATTATATATTTTTTTTTATGTAGAAAGGAATAGGTCATCAAGGACCAAAAACATCAAAAATTGTCTTTTTAGGCGATACAAATCGTCTTTTATCTACAGGTTTTGGAAAACAATTTGAACGACAAATAGCTATTTGGAATTTTGTATATATTTATTGAATAAAATAATTTCTAAATATTGAACTATTAATTTAGAATGATTTATCAAAACCATTAACAGTTGAAACAATTGATTTCAGTGCCGGTGCTCTTATTCCATATTATGATCATGATACACGTACAGTTTATTTAGCTGGAAAAGTAAGAAAAACAAAAGTTTTGTCTTTGTTTTTTAGTTTCTAATCATTTTACATATAAATTATTTTAGGGTGATGGAAATATTCGTTATTATGAAGTGAGTGATCAAGGTGAACCATATTTGTATTTTCTTTCTGAATATAAATCTTCTTCACCACAACGTTGTCTTGGTAAAATTGATTCAAACAAAACACAGAATAATGATTTTTTTTTATTAAAAAAAAAAAATTATTTTTCATAGGTGTAATGCCAAAAATAGGTCTTGATGTAACACGTAATGAAATAATGCGTTTTTATAAATTATTTGCTACTGGATCTATATGTGAACCTATTTCTATGATTGGTTTGTATTATCTTTTATTTATTGTTGTTTAAATTTCTTGATTGTTTTTTTTCTTTTGTTAAGTCCCACGTAAAGCAGAAGCATTTCAATTAGATATTTATCCAGATACTCCAGGTCCATATCCAGCATTATCACCGGAAGAATGGATGTCTGGTATTGATCGTGATCCAATACTTGTATCAATGAAAGATCGTGTCGAGGGTACAAATATGCCAAAAATTACAACATATCGAACACTTGATTCAACAACATCAACACCTGTTCTACCTCATCGTGGAACACCACAACGTACAATTCAACCACCAGTTGCAGAAGTTGCACCAACACCTAAACAAAATCTTATTGATCAATCACTATCTTCATCTATATCGATTGAAAAATTAGCAGCAAATATGCAACAACAACAACAACAACAACAACAACAACAGCAACAACATCAACATCAACATCAATCGAGTTCTAAAGGTTTAAGAAAAATTGAATCATTAAAAATGCCAGCAACAAGTACAGAATTTAATAATGTTAGGTAAGATTTGTTTTCATAGGAAATATTTTAGAATAATAAATCGATAGATTAAAAACTACCTAATTGATATTAGTAGAAAAGAGGAAAAGAAACCAGCCGTTGTACAGCGACGCCAGTTTGCAACTCGGCGTCGTGTAGGACGTACAAGTTCATGTGGCATTCTATTGGATACCAGGTTCGACATTCTTTCCTAGCTTTTAATACACCTTATAGTTGCATTTCCAAAAGATATTTTAAACTCTTTTTTTTCTGCATCATTATATTATTCTTTCAAGTGATGAAGTTATTCCTTCTCCACAACCACCGCCACCACCACCAGAGCGTAAAATTTCTCCATCTCAACCTGTTGCTGCTAAATCAATAACTGTACCGAATACATCATCGAATCGTAGTCTTTACAAACCGCTTCGTTCTTCATTTAAACCTTTTCCATCAGAAAAAAAAATAAGTCATACACAATCTACACCCGATCTTTCATCGTTGATGTCAGACGATAAAAATGATGATGATACATCATCATCACTTGAAAATCTTTCGAATACGTATGCAGCAATGGATTTATCTCAACCACGTCCAACTGGTTCAATTCTTAAACGAAGACCACCACCACCACCACCTCCAGCACCATCACAAATTTCTGACGAACCTATTTATGTTTCATCAGTTTCTGTACCATTACAACAAACTACTCCTCGATCAGTTCAATCAATGATTCGTGATCAGAATTCAAATACACCAGAGAGGTAGTTTGGCTATGTAACCAAGCATGGAATGAAGTGTCATCAGTTTTTTTTTTAATGGATTGTTTTCCTTTATTATTTGCTGTGCAATATTTTTCATTTGTTTTTCATTTAATCTAAATTTGACCTGTTCTATTCTTCAGGGATAAGTTTCAAACTAAAATTAGTCAACAACAACAACAACGACAATCTCAATCACCAATACATAATAACAATCAAAATCGACGTAATGTTGAAGTTAAGAAAAAAGTATGGAGTGTTGATACACCAGATCAACAACAACAACAACAACAATCACCACAACAACAATCGTTGTATCATAATAATGCTAATGGACATCATCCATCTGTTCAACAACAAACAAATGGAATTGATGTTAGTAAAGAAACAAAAAAAAATTATATATATATCTATCTTTTTTTCTTCATACATATTTATTTTAATTTAGTATCGTCAAGCATTTTTAAAACAACAAGAAGAAGTGCAATCATTACGTGAACTTATGTCATTAAAAGATAATCGAATTCGTTTACTTGAAGATGAATTACGTTTATTAAAAAATAAATATGAACATAAAGAGAATGAATTAAAAAGATGATCGTGTCTTTTTTTTTCTTTTTTTTTTGAATATCATTCATTTTTTTCTTTTTTACTATCAATATTTTAGTCATTGTTTCTTTTTTGCAGTCTATGTCTATGTATGAAAAAACAAGCTTTTTTTGTATTCTTCTTTTTTTCATGAATATATATATATATATAAATACTCGAATGAAGAATGGCCGTATTTATTATCATTATTCGTTTTGATTCAAACAAATGAAAAACATTTTAAAAATAATTTTAATTTGAAGAATATATCGTAAGTAAATATAATAATATTAATATCACAATAAATAAATATATAGACATCGAATGACAACAAGATATGTTAATTTGCCATTCAATATCATCATCATCAAATGGACTATTTGATATTAATGAGTAAGGATATATAGAATCATTTGTATTGTTAATAAATAGATTTATCCACTCTAAATATGCTGTTATACGTGTATATACACCAGAATATCCTGGTTCAGCACATCCATAACCAAACGATGTTATACCAACAATAACCCATTGTTTACTTGATGTAAACATCATAAGAGGACCACCAGAATCACCTTGACATGTATCTAGAAAGATAAAATCTTTTGCTTTTTTTTTATTAATGAATTAATTATTCTAGTCTTTACCTTTTTCACTGTTTTCAACACCAGCACAGAATTGTTTTAATTGATCATAGATCAATGGATAACAAGTAGCATTTTGATAATCAATTGCTTTCAATATAACTTGTTGAAGTGTCGAAGATTCTGGACCATTTTCCCAGAGTCTACCCCAACCAACTGCAACGAGCTGAAAAGTTTTAAAAAAAACAACTCAAACATATGATATAATCGATTATGTTATATCATACATACTGATGAATCTACAGGTGGATATTCATTCAAAGATATATTTGGTAAACAAATCTTAGCTAAAATGTTATCAGTCAAATAAAGAGGTAATAATAATTTAAGTAAAGCAATATCATTATTAAAATTCAATTGATTAAAATTAGGATGAAAAATAATGTCGGTTACATCACTTAATTGATTTTTTCCATATTGATTATTTGAACCAACATGTACAGTTATATCAGAAGCTTTAATTCGAAAGACATTGCTTCCGAAATTGTTTACTATTAAAAAACAATGTGCTGCTGTTAAGATCCATAAATTTGATATAATCGATCCAGCACAACGAAATTTATTTTGAATACGAACTGATACAACCCAACTCCATGTTTCTATTCTAGCAGTTTGTCCACCAACAATTTTTGAATATAGTCGAGATTTATTTGAACAACCACATGATGCATAATGATTGCATGAATCGATTATCTGATTTGTGAGTTGAAGAATGATGAATAATGTGATTAAAAAACTAGATGACAACATTATTGATGACAAAAAGAAATAGAATGATGATATCCTTTTTTTTTTTTCTTCTTTAAAGTATATTTGTTCTTTTTGATTTGTTGTCTATTCAAGGTCAATATCATTTTGTCGATAGTACTGTTCATTGAATTGCTTTTTTAAGTAATCATTTGTTTTTCAAATAGCGTGATAAGGATTAATGAATTATTTCTATTCAAAATAAATTTAACGTATCCACACTGTATATACGTGTACAAACATGTTGAAATTTTGTCCTTCTTCGAAAAAAAATAGTTTTGAATAAGAAAATTATTTATTTTTTATATTGTTACTGATAAGTCATCGATATATATATATATATATAATTTCGTTTTATTTTTGAAAATTTTCTTTTGATAATATTGAATTATATGTCGATATTGTAATTTCAAAATCGACTTTGTAAGAATTTTTACGAAATGATATAAAAGCCTTTTAATACTACCATAAGAGATAAGACAAGATCAATGTTTTAAAACAATAGAATTATCAGCATCAAAAATTTTATAAGTTTATCTTCATATTATTTTTGAGATAGTTTCATTCAATGATAGGCTGCTCAACTTTGAGTTAGTTTAGTCATATCTATCAATTAGGATTTCATAATATTTCTTTATTTTCTTTTTTTTGATAGATGTAATGGAAGCAAAAAGAATTAGCCTACAAAAGTCGTTCGTAAATTATTCTATGCTGAACTTGCTGCTACAATTATAAGATGAATTAATCCAAGGACTGATGATACTATCAAAAAGGTCAAAGCAAAATTGTTATATGAAAGGATAATTCTTATCAGTGATAATTTCTAAATATGTATCATCTTAGTTTATTAGCAAATGTCAAAATATGATCGTATGATGTAATGACATGTTCTTAAATAAAATGTTGACCTCTCTTATTATTACATTAAAATTTATATTAAATAAACATCCGTATCAAATTGTAAAGACTAGAATAAAAAAAAAACTATTTAGTCTTATTTTATAACTCACTTGATTGTCAACATATACTATTGAATTATAAGTTTCATCGTTTTTTAGACAACTAAATTAATTCCGTTATTGAAATAGACAAGGTTATATTTAATGCTCATTTTTAACTTTCATATTTTATAAGACTACGATAATTAATGTTTTTGGTACTTATCTCATTGAGAACAATATGAATTTTTTTCTAATCAACATTTGTATATATACGATATTTTAAAGTGTAATAATTCAATGTATTTCTGATTATTCGTGTTTGAAGAAATATAATCACTATTTACATAAATGTTTATTCGTAGAGATTTTGCAATATCTTGTCATCTCTTTCTTTTTTTGCACTACCTATTATAAATATATTCAGTATTAGCTGGAGCAACTATCAAGGTTTCTATAATCTGAACAATATTTGTCCTGCTAGACGTTTTTTATACATTGTAAAACTCGACTCCATACAAATCATTCCTTAGTTCATTTTATGAATCTAAAAAGAAATATATTCAGTAGATAATTACAATGCTGTCTTTTTGAAAACAGATGTTTTATATCAAGATCGCACATTCTTACGAATAGACTTTAGTCAATCATGCCTTCAAGAACTTTTCCACCACATTTCATGGCCATTTTCCGTGTATTGACTACACGGCACCGTCGTGAACTTGGAAAGAGATTAAATGTAATAGAAACAAACAAAAGATGTAACAATACACATTCATGATTTTTGCTATTGAACCAATTGATTAAATTGAAGCATTTGTGAAAATCTTCGATGGTTCATTTAGTATCTATTTCAAACCAGCATTCGAGTGCTATTCCTATTTAATAATCTTAAAAGACTTTCATAAAGAATGCAAAGCGGATGTGAATGTGAATAAGTATTCAATTCATGCTCACAACTACATCCACGTCTAATGAATACGACAATTTTTCATTCTTGATTAATACGTATGAACGCAATCGATGTTGAGGAAAAATATTCAGGACACTTCGACAGTTTGAATAGAGACTGAAATATTATTATCTATAACTCGAAAAAATCAACTGTCATAAGTGTTGGATTGATCGACGAACAAACAATGAAAGTGGTTTCTAATTCTTTATGACATTTGATGTTCATGAAGCAAAGCATTTTTCTTTTTAGTTCATCAAACTCATTGATACTCTGAACAAATGAATGATCATACCGATTTAACGTATGCATCGTTTGAAAATATGAAGAGTAAATAAAAGGTTTTTATGGATATCATTAAAACAAGCATTCTTGTACGTATGATCATGTTGATTATATGTTTGACATAATAATGCTGATGACTGATAAAATTCAAAACTGATTTGAAAGGTTTTGTTGAATTTTGAATACATAAGAAGTTTTTCAACTTCAATGATCCGTACTTTTTAACTGATATGAACAGTTATAATATTACTAGGATAGAGAAAACTAATTATTTCCTTCAATTTTATGTCTAAAATGTAACAAACTATCGATTGTCATTAGATCAAATTGATTATCTACTTAGCATCTTTTTTTTCATTGTGCAACATCTCTGTTCAATCCAAACGTATTGCTTTTTCTATTTGTCGCTATAAATTTTGTTTGAGATGAAGTAACCTTATACTTCTGTTGTTATTGTATCTTCCTATTAAACAAGCAATATCTCATGTGTTTCACACAATATAAAAAGGTTTACTGAAACGATGTGTATCAAAGCAAGCATATTGCTTTTAGTTACATAAGTCATCCAGAGATAATAGATCAATATACAATGAAAATTGCGAAAAAAAAAAGCTTATCGGTAGTCAACGTAATTGGCTGTATTGTATTGCCGATAATATTATTTCTCTACTCTATCAGAAGTTTCATGATTGAAATTAATTAAAAGATTTTGATGAAATCCAATTCATACTTGAATCATTAAACTTAAGTACATGATTAAAATATGGGTAATATAGTTCATTGAGTTACTCATATTTATATAAATGGAAGAGAGTTGAAAATATCGTGTTTTTTAATCGAACATTTAACTTAACTAGAGAAGAATATAATAGTTTAATTAGTTGCTCAATATTCTAGATAAAATAGATATTATTTTGATAGTTTTCAGTAGAGTTGCTGATCAGTATATGTGTTAAAATTTGCAGAACTGATTTTTCATGAGTTTGTTATAACAAATGTTAATCGAACTTCTTATTGAAGATTTTTTAACTAATTTTGAATAATTATATTGCTGTTTTCTTCTATTTACTTTCAAAATTCGGTTAATAATTCGTTCCATTGGGCTATATACAATTGACATCAGACTCAATTTTTGTTGAAACTCACACTAGTGACTAGTACCACAGATTACCTTACCAGCATTATTAGTCTTTTTTTTTTAAATAACAGAAATAATGATGCATCTATTTGTTCTTCGACAGAAATGGCAACATAGTATGATTCTGTACTTCAGAAATATTTTAAAAGTAATTGTCGATCTTATTCAGTGATGCTCTTAATCAACTATATTATCGAATGTGAATATTTGGGCAACATAAGAAATTGGATGTATATATATTCGGTGTCGTCCGTGGTTTTAAGTATGATAAAAGAACAACTACGAGATAGAACATTCGTTTAATTT